CAGACAACACAGAAAAAAAGTTTAGAAACTCAGAAATACATAAAAAAGTGTATAAAATTATATAATGTCAAAATATTTTATCTTTTAATACCATGATAATTCAGGTTTCTTCTCTGGTACAAAGGGAGGGCCAAAAGATTTTATGTGGATTTTCTAGATCACAGGAGCGCAGCACCCCTAAACCCTACCATGTGGAAGGGACAACTAATATCTGGACCCTCTCAATTTACAGCTGAAGAAATTGAGATGGCTGGGATACAGTAAGTTCCTTGGACAAGTAATTTATCCAATGTCACAGAGGTAGTAAGTGTCAGATCTGGGATTTGAACTCACATCCTATGACTCCAAGTTTAGCACTCTTTCTGCTGCTGTTGGCTCTGGTTTTCCATAAAGCCTCCACTGGGGATCTGCCTAGGATACCAGAGACTTGACTTTTATTCATGTCTTCTCTTGGGAGATAATTTCCCCTCCTGAACCTCCTTTGCCAGGCCTAAAGAATTTTAAAAAGTGATGCCTGTGCTTCTTGTTAGCCCAGAACTGGCATTGGTACCATGTTCTGCCTACCCACACCTTCCATATTCTTTTAATTCTGAAATGGTGGGGCATTATGATTCAAAGCCACAGAGCATTATTAGGGAAGAACTCTGATTGAGCAGTGAACAAAATAAATGCAGGTGCCAATGTAGATCATGGGAGAAATTTAGGAGCAGGGAAACCTTCCCAGGACCCTTCTTGTTACATTGCTTCAGCAGCAGCATCTTCGACCAACGTACTGGTCAAGAGTTCTGTTGGATGTTGTGAACACACACACACTGACCAATCAATCAAAGCAATTATTCACTGTGGCAGCTGCTGTGAAATGACCCAGATTGTAGACATCAAGCCAGTTCAAATAAGATATTTGGAGAGAAAGGTCAGCATAGAAAAAATGAGAGATGGGAGCACCAAACCGGATATTTTAAAAGTAGTCATGGCTTGAAAAACCAGTCTTTTATAAGCAATTTGATTCGGTGATGCAAGGGGATAGACTGCTAAGCCTGGAGTCAGGAAGACTCAAATTCAAATCTGAACTCAGACATTACTAGCTACTTGAGACTGGGCAAGTCACTTATGCTCTGCCTGCCTCAGTTTCCTGGTCTTTAATAAAATAAGGATAATGAAAGTAACCCACCTCCCAGGGTTGTTTTTAGGATCACATGAAGTATTAATTGTAAAGTGCTTTGCACAGTGCTTGGCACATAGTAAGTGCTATATAAATGTTAGCTATATGATAATAAGCATCATTATTATTATTATTACTATTATTACACCTACTATTTACTAAGAACTGTTTCAGGTAACTAAGGGTACAAGGGAAAAACAAACAAACAAACAAACAACAAAAAAAACCAAACAAACAAAAAACAGTTCCTTCTGTGAGGGGGCCTTCATTCTACTTTGGGCAGAGTAAGACCTTGAACACTGACAAGGAAATAAAATGGAGTTTGGGAAGGGACTAGCAGACGAAGGCATCAGGGCAGGCTTCATGACAAAGGCAGCACCTTCAAAAGAGTTAGGAAACCATTGGGATATAGCTTCCAATCCTCTGATTGGCTATGCACGTAAGGACATGACGCTACAGTCGCCAACTTAGAAACCCTGGGACTAGATGACCTCTAATGTCTCTTCTCAGACATCTGGGTGGCGCCATAGTGCATAGAGTGCTGAACCTGGAGTCAGGAAGACATACTTCATGAGTTCAAATCTGGCCTCAGACACTTACTAGCTGTGTGACCCTGAGCAAGTCACTTAACCCTGTTTGCCTCAGTTTCTTCATCTGTAAAATGAGGTAGAGAAGGAAATGGTAAACCACTCCAGTATCTTTGCCGCCTGAAGCAAACCCAAAATGGGGTCATGGAGAGTCAGACACAGCAGAACAACAACAGCATCAACCACAAAATCTCTTCTAGCTTTAAAAGCAGGATCTCACAATTTGTTCTGATGGCCCCCATTTCTCAGAAGTGTGCCCTACTGAGTGAAAAAGCCAGGTTTTTGAGGAAACCTGGGGTCTGTTCTCAGTTCTGCCAGTGGCTGGCTATGTGATCTTGGACACATCACCTCCTTCCTTTCAGCTACTTAATTTCAAAGAGATGCAAGTGCATTCTAAAATTCTCTATGAATCCTAGATCATAGATATCAGTGTGGAGAGGGACCTCAAAGGTAAGAGTTATGGATGAAGACATTGAGGCCCAGAAAGGTCGAGGGAAAATTACAATCAAGCCTTAAAAATATTATTTTTCAGGAAGCATGCTGAAACTGCAATAATAACATTCAGGGTCATTAAAAAAAAAACAAAAACAAAACATGGTCTTAACTTTTGTTTCCCTTTTTACTGCTAGAGTTGAGTCCCAATAGGTGGAACTGAAGCCCATGACAAGGACAAATGTTTAATAAGAATCTACCTTGAGGATGAAATCATTTAAGCTTGGCTAGACAGACTGTAATTATCCCCAGTTTGTAAATTCTATAATTAGCCCGGTTTCTTAGAAGTGAATGCTTTTAAGTCATAGATTTTGTAGAAAACTTCAAATCCAACTCTAAGATACGACATATGCATTTCTAATAACATTCAGTTGGGGTGATTTTCATTTGGTGTGTCATCACTCGGTTACCTTTGACATTGAAATGAACAAGGATGGCACAGGGGTGAAAATAGCAGCAGCCATGACTAGATAACATGAGAAGCCTTGGGGCAGGAGTTCTTAACTTTTAATGTGTCATGAACCCCTTTGGCAATATGGTGATGCCTACGGACCTCTTTTCAGAAAAAAACATGTTTTACATGCATAAAATAAAATGCATAGGGGTCACAGAAGAAATCATTTTTTTCTATTGAAATACATTTATCTTTTTTTTAAGTTCATGCACCCCAGGGTAAAAACTGCTGCCTTAGGGTGTATTCATAAACACAAAGCAAGGTCACCAACCTCATCCCTTCTCTACTGAGCAAATGGAATTCAGAGAAAACAGACTTCAGAGAAGGAAAGAAACAGGATGGTTTAGCAAACAATTACCTGATCATTTTTATATACTAGAATGGCTTAAAAAAGATTCTTCATTAATTAAAAGAACTTCAAATTATTTCATTGTATTACTGCTTCAAACAGGGTTGTGAACTTAATCTTTGAGAAACATATAGTATATTCTGACTTGACGAATATTGCTGGTCTTTATTTTTGAAGGGCCATTTCCTCCACCCACAGGTAAAACTAGGTCAGGACCGTGGTGCTTTACTTGTGTCCCAAATGAAAATTTTTGCCTCCCTGTGGACATATCACCTCTCATCTGGACTCTTCCAACAGTCTTCTAACTAGTCTCCCTGACTCCAATCCATCCTCCGCTCAGGTACAAAAGTGACTTTTCTAAAGCATAAGTATGGTCATGTCACCCCCACTCTCCCCAGTGAACTTCAGTGACTCCCTATTACCTACGGGATCAAGTAGAAACTCCTAATTTTGCCGTTTAAAGCTTTTCATAACTCAGCCCCCTCCTACCTTTCCTTACTCTCCTCCACACATTCTATAATCCACCTACATTAGGCAAATCCTCAAATACGTTACTTCAGCTCTCATCTCAATGCCCTTGGACTAACTGCCCCACCTCCTTGGAACGCTCTTCACACTCATGTCCATCTTTGAGCTATGCCGCCTTCTTTCAGGCCTCAAGTCCCACCCACTTTGGAGGCCTTTCCTGGTCCCTTCTAGTTCTTTCCCTTTGAGATCGCCTTCCCTCTGCTATGTATGTGTAGACACACGTTTGTATGTGTGTATGTATGTATGCATGTATATAATACTCACATATGCACATGTTGATATATGTGTGTTTATAATATACATGCGTATGTGTAGATGCATGCATGTATATGCATAAGGCATGTACATGTGTACATGTATATTATGTGAATCTCTCTACATATAGAGATATTTACACACATATATAGACACATGCATACACATTCATCCATATCTATCTATCCACCTACCTACCTACCTATAGCATCTACTCACTCACCTATTGTCTTCTCCACTAGTATGTAACCTTCTTAAGGATGAGGACTGTTTTTGCACGTTTTGTTTCCTTACCATTTAGCACAGAGCAGAGCCTGGTACCCATTTGTTGGTTGCCTGAGCCATAGACAGAGCTAGCTACTGCTCTACGTGCCTGTAGAGGCCATCTTAATGAGTGCCTCTCTCTCATGAACCTACCAGAACCAGCCACCCCATGATATGTACTCAAGGTTTCTGCTATGACTAAATACCATCTTAAGAACCCTCCACCATGAACCTTTCACCACTGTCTAATTACAACGTGAAGCCTTCCACTGTTTGACCTGCTTCCCTTTGCAGTAATAGCCATGAAGGGCAGCTCTTCCCCGTGTCCTGAAAGGCTGGCACATTTGGTATTGACCATGAATAAATGAATATCAGGACGGTCTTCTGTGATATCAGGTATCACTGCCAGACCTAGCTGACTCATCTGTGCCATTTCTCAGGCCCCTCCCCACAAACACACAAGTGATCTACTCATTGACTAAGCAGTGGCCTGGAGGGCCAGAGGAGAGTGAATCCAGAAACAGGTAATTCTGCAGCCACCTTCCATTCCTGACCTTCCCCTCCCAGGCCATCCCTTCTGCACCTTTGCCGCAATGGTTTCAAATTGGAAGCCAGACACTTTTCAGAGAGGTCATTTCATTTAAACATTTAAGCCTTTTCCTTTAAGAAAAGAAAAAAAATGGAAATGTTTGTCCTGAGAACATTGAATTTAGCATCCTCTTGACTTTGAGATAATGGATGGGAGGGGAGGGATCCCCTGAACGGCTAGATGCCAATCTCGAATGTTCCACTCCTTCTGAAGGAACAATTCCAAGTATGCACACACACACACACACACATGCACTCACACACGCGCTCACACACACGTGCACACACCATGAATACACATCACAAAGGTCAGTGACTTACGGCGGGGTGTCCAGCACAGTAGGTGTAGCTGGCGTGGGACTGGTAGTGCAAGCTTGCTCTTGGAAAGGTATAGCTGTTCCAAGCTGGTTGGCTGCTGTTCCACTGGGAGCTGAAGCCGGGACTCATGGTCACTCTGGATTTACTGTTTTGGTACGTTCTCACCGTGGAGCTAGACTATCAAGAAGAAAGAAATGGCATGTAAAAAGAACTCTAGTCAAGTGCAGGCCAGCTGTACTGAGCAACATGAATTGCCCTGACAATAGTTAGCATTTGTATTTTACTCAAGTTTGTTGGTTGTCAAGTATTTTATATACGTTACCTCATTTGAGCCTCACAACAACCCTAGGATATAGGTGCTGTTTTTTATGCTCATTTAATAGAGGAAGAAACTGGGTCTGAGAAAAGTTCAGTGACTCACCTACACAGTTAAGTGTCAGAAGCAGGATTGAAATCCAGGCCTTCCAGATCTCTAGTAAATCCCTCTATCCACTGTACCACCTGGCTACCTTGTTCCATGTATGGTCATCCTCCCTAGGAATCTGTTAACAAAGGTGGAAGGCTCACTGGGCAAAAAGAGAGGATCAAAGGCTCGTCCTACCATCTTTTTTTCTGTTTGAAGTGAGACAGGATCACAAAGCACCAGGACTAATTGAAATGGATAGTATTGCAAACAGTTTTCTCTCATTGCAAAAAAATTTCATCATCTAAAAACGAGATGTGGTTTAGTGATGCCTGTAAAGGTGACATTTTCAATTATAGGAATGTTCTTCCTTTCCTGTACCCTTTGTGGAAATTGACTATTGCTTTCACTGGAACGCAATAACCCAAAAAATGGGAGAGTTGGAGAGGATGAGATTAAGGAACAGAACACTAGCCTGGCAGGATCTGGCTGCTCTCCTGGAAATGGAGACTTTGAATTGTCCAAATCCATTTCTTCTCTTCTTAAAGAAATCAGCAGAAATCTGAAGAAGGTCCAATGTACCATGTTACCCACTCCTTCCCTGGAAATATCACCCCCTGTTTTCTTTCTTTCTACTGTTTCTGTAAAATGGAAATAATAATAGCACCTTCATCAAAGGGTGGTTTTGAGGATCAAAAAAGATAAGATATGTAAAGTCATTTCCAAATCTTAAAATGGTTTGTAAATGCTAGCTCTCATGATCATCATCACTGCTATCACCACCATCATCATCATCAGTGGCAGCAGTACCATCACCCTCACCACCACCACCACCGTCATTATTGAAAAGCAGGGCTGAGAAGGACCAGTCATAAATTGCTATGATTAGAGCCTAAATTCCTTTGGATATTGTTTGCCTAAGTAAGCATAAAGGAGCACAGTGGAATGGCTAAGATTGAGAAGACTTCCTCCGTTTCTTTTTTCTTCAATGTCTGCAGCACAGATTGATACTGTTTTAGAAGAAAGCACTTGTCAGTGTCTCCTGGGAAAAGAACTGTTTACTCAAATAGGATGATAACACTCCAAACAAATTCTTTTTTTTATAAGGCTGTGTCCCAACAACTCGATAAGGGAGAAAATGTGTTGATGCCATTGTTATTGGGAAGAGTGGGGTGGGTGGGTGTTGATCCATTAGGTTAGATTTGGAGGTATTGAACATCTTGAGAATAGCTAATATTAGGATATAGTTTGAGTATCCTATGGAAATTAAGGGGGGAAAGTGACTCCATCATCCAGGAGTATTTTATTTCACTTACAAAAGATTTAGTAAGTATGTATTACAGGTCAGGCTGAGGTTTTGTGCCAGACATTGGGAATAAAAAATAAAAACAAGACAGCAGGAAGAGGAGGAGGAGGAGGAGGAGGAGGAGGAGGAGGAGGAGGAGAACCACCTAGTGAACAAGGTGGAAATGAAAGAAAACAAGTTCTCTTACTCATTACATATTTCCTGAGTTTTAATGGGAATATCTACTGGGTCCTGTCTAGCCAGAATCTTGAAATGTAAATTAAAAATGGAAGAAGGGAACAGAAGATAGTAGAGTGACAAAAAATGGGATGAAGAAAAAAAAGAGAAATAAGGGTGAAAGAGATACAATATCTTCAGGGTACAAATGGCCAGGTTTTTCAGAGAAAAGAAGAAATAACCTTTTTCACATGATGGACAACTGGATTTTGCTAAAGAATCAAGTAGGGGAAGAAATATGCTCCAGCAACCCCAAGAGAGGAGTGAAAATTGAGAATATTAAAGATATTTTATGGATAACCTTAATATGAACATATACTAAAGGCTAATAGTCTGAAGGAACATATATTTCTTAGAAGATGGAAATTATTAGAAATACTCACTGAAATAGAATAGCAATGCTTCTCCCTGACAGCTGTATCATTTGGGTATGCTAATGTACTAAAATTAATGGATCTCATGCTTACAATTAATTATGGTTGATAGACACAACAGCTACATTCTAACTCACTACTATATGGCTTTCTTTGCTTCTATACATTCCATAATCATGTTTCTGTTGTCACTTTAGTCATCTAAACTATGCCAAACAGGTTTGTTTTTATTCTCTTGAACTCTACCTGGGAATAGGTTATTTTTTTTTCAAAGAAAAATTGAAAACATTTGTAAAATTCCAAGTCAATTAACAGCCCAGTGTCCTGACTAGAGCACTGGATTCGGAATTAGGAAGATCTGAATTTGAACTTTACCATAGGGACCTACTAATTGTGGGAGCCCAGACAAATCAGGAGCTGTCCTATCCAGTTTCTTCATTTGTTAAAAAAAAAAAGGAGGGGGTAATTGTAGCTTCTACATCACATGTTACAGTGAGGATCAAATGAATTAATATAAAGTACTCTGGATATCTGAATGGGTTACATAAATATCAGCTGCTGCTATTATTGTTATAGAAAATAATTATTTTTATCCTGTTTAAAGTCAGTCCAGGGACAAGGCACTATACTGATATTACTCTTTTGCATCGAAATTTTGCAGATTATTTCATTAGTGGTTGCCATTTTTTAGTTGAATAAAAGTATTGGCTTATGAGTTCATCTTTTACAGGTACACTGAAATCATCATTATCAATAAGGATTGAACCTGTGATTTCATTAGTATAGAGAACTCCCAGGGGAGATAATTCCTTCTGTCAATGTCGATCTCCACCTTTTCTGCAACTTATTGTCTTAGAGAGTTTTCTAGAATGCAGTGCTTCTTAAACTGTGGGTTGCAACCTCATATGAGGTCATGAAAAATTTGGCAACAGCAAAAGGTTTCTGAATGTGCAACAACCCAAAATTAATTAAAAATCAGCATTTGCCCATGTTACATCACACAACTTCACTGCAGCTTTGGTTCTCTGAACACAAATCATGTGCACTTTGTACCTCACATGCCCTCGGGTCATGCAACGCCCATGAAGGCTGCTGAAATGTGAAAAGGGGTCATGAGTGGAAAAAGTTTAAGAATCCCTATTCTAGCGCACTAAGAAGGTAAGCAACTTCCCATAGTCACATAGCTATTTATGTCAGAAGGAGGACTTGAACCCAGTTCTTCCTGGTTCTGAGACCAGTTCTCTATTGTGCCACTCTGCCTCTGTATTGTTGTTGCTAGTAATGTCTTTTCATCTTTATGTTCAATGGAACTCAGAAATGGTACCAGGACAAGTTGCTATTTTGCTATTACTCTTTTGTGTACTGTTCAGCACACTCCTATGCAGGTAATTAATATGACTGAATTTATATAACTGAATGTAAGTTTTGGGCTGCAGGCTTATCTTCTGAAGACACACTGAAACCATCATAAGAACAAGTCCCACAGTAAACAGGATAACAGGGATGATGTGAGCTTCTTTCTTTTCCCACATGGTTTGGATTCCTTTAGATTCTCAGGGATGTTGTGACATTTGTATTTATAGAATAATGATTTGTTTTGTGTTAGTTTTTGAAGAATCACAAATCTCTGGTGTATAATTCTTGTCATATCATAGAATCACAAAATTTGAGAGTTGGAAGGGACCTCAAGGAACAATTAATATTACCATCTCCACTAGAAGATCAATCAATCAATCAACAATATACCAGAAATTGAACTAGGACCTTGGTATATAAATACAATGAATGAAATAGCCCCAATTTTCAGGGCACAGACACTTACACAAGGAGACAATAATGTTTAAATAGTAAATGAATTAATTCAAAGTAAATAAATTAGTTAAATTCAAGGAAATTGGGAGTTTAATATCAGAGTCATCTGACCTGTGCTTGAAGATCTCCAAGGAGGAGAAACTCATAACCATTCTCGATAGTCCACTAAATTTTTGGACAGCTCTCATCAATAGGAAATTTTTACTGACATTAGGTCTCAACTGACTTCTTTTCTATTCCCGTCTAATTCTCCTAGTTCTGACATCATGGGTCAGACAGAACAAATCTAATTTGTGTTTCTAGTAAGAGCCCTTCAAATATTTAAATACAGCTCTCTTCTCCTTAGCTTCCTCTTCCTTTTCTCCCTAGTTCCTTCAACCCACTGTCATATAATATAGCCTTAAGACTCTCCCCCATCCTCATTACCCTCCTCTGGATACTCTCCCAAAATCAAACCATGATTCCCTAAATTGAACATTAGATTCTCCATAAGTCTAATGAGGGATACTCCCAGAAATTACGCATTTTATTTAATGTATCCTAAGACAGTACTCACTTTTTTGAATACTGTACTACACTGTTAACTCATATTGAGCTTGCAGCTGACTAAGATCCCCAGGAAAAAAATGCTGTCTCCCCAAGCCTTCATTTTGTACTTGCAAAGCTGTTTGTACCAGAGCTCAAGATTTTACATTTGTTCCCCCTGAATTATATTTTATTCCAATCAGAAGAATATCAGCCCACAGTTCTAGCCTCTCAAGATTCTTTTGGATCCTGACTCAGTGAGTTTGCCATCTTTCCCAGTTTCATGTTACCTGCACATGTGGCAATCATTCTACCTATGGCTTTGTTCAAATCATTGATAAAAATGCTAACCAGTGCACAGATCCATGGGGTGCTTGGCTACTCCTGCCATGATTAATACTGAACTATAAGCAATGACTTTTTGAATCTAGCCATCTAACTAGTTTTGAAATCCTCTTAATTATTTTATTGTTCAATCCTTAACCTCTCTATCTTCTTCATAAGAATGCTATAAGAAGAGAGGTGGAGCCAAGATAGTGAA